GGGCACAGACAGGAGAGCACCTCGCTGCAGCCTGCGGGCACAGACAGGAGAGCACCTCGCCAGCTATGCCTGCTGGGTGCCTGCTCCAGGCCGCAGGGCACCGCTCTCCTCAGACAGCAGAGTCCGTTCTTGCGTCAGGGTTAAGAGTGTATGTGAGTCCCTACTGACCTTTTAAGACTACCTGAAGGGTAACCTATACCTATAGGTATATAGGTTATACATAACCTATACCTCCACATACCTACTTGAACTAAAACACAGAACTGTTTATTTGGCTGACAGCTTTGCACCAAGTAACATACAGTTAATTGTGTTACACAGGATCATCAATAACGACAAAAAAGTTAGTAAAGTGGTACCTCGCAACCTTCGCTCCTCTAATTCTGGTCTCCTATCTGTCCACCAAGCCTGTCTACACTCTATGGGTGACAGGGTCTTCCCCTGTGATGCCCCTAAGCTCTGGAACTCTCTCCCCAAGCATATCAGAGAGTCACCTTCTCTAAACTCCTTCAAATCCAGACTCAAAACCGTCTTCTTTAGAAGAGCCTTTACTTAACTGGTTCTGTTCTTTACCCATCTGCTTCTACTGTACTTAGTACCACCATCTACTGTCTCCTCTGTGTATTCTCATCGTGCATATATTTTTTTTGTTGTTGGGTATTTTTTTTTTGTCGCTGTTGTCATTTTGTAGGGTGTTTTGAGAAGCCACCTTTAAAGGCGCTATATAAAATAAAGTTTATAAGGTCTATAAGAAAGTCTGTGGAATAAGAATAAGTGGAACAAGCATGAGAGACGACCAATGGTCAATATGACCTGACAAAGAGATGTTCTTCCTGCTGTTCCAAAGCAGCTCCTTTGTGGGGATGGCTTTATTAGGGTTGAACATTTTTCAAGGCCTGAACGAGAGAGTTCTGACCTTTGAAGAATTTAGCCAGCGAAGAGCATTTCACAGGCAAGCTCTGCCCATTTTCACTGAGCGCAGCACACACCAGACGCTGGCGCAGCCAGGACAAAAGGCCTGCATGCCTTTGTTGTCTGCGCTGCTACTTGTCTCCAGGTGACAGCAGAGGCCCAGAAAATGCAGGCTGACATCATCCTGGCAAACTCAATACAAGCTCATTTATCCACATTCTAAGGACAGCCTGGCCTCATCGCAGAGGGATTCATATCTCTTAATGGATTTTCAATTGAATTTTGGTGTCAGAGACACATGGCCGCACTAACCCTCCAGGTCCAGCTTCCTGTGCACAGAGAGCTCTGCAGATCTATCAGGGCTTATTCATGCATTTTCTGGGTTATTCAAATCTGTAAATAACAAGATCTGTAACACTGCTGTGGTTGTGAAGGGCCACAGGGAAAGGATTCTGGTCGCACACTAGGAAGATTGTGGGGGCAATTATTCAGTCCACATGTTCTGACTCCTTCAGCAAGTTACTGCAGGTATATATGATGAATATACTCCCTTCACATCAACTAACAAGAATGAGCACATGCTGGTAAGGAGGTTGCCTGCAGTAGGACAGCCACTCCGTATGTTTAATTCTGAATATCCCAATATAAACTCCAGCTCAGCGAGCTACTTAAGCATCTCAAGGATCTACAGTACCTAACCTTTGTCACAAAGATCATGCCCTGCCCTTTTAAGCAAATTTAAGGGGGCTGTTTTATTTCAGACTTTGCAATTTGAAGTGTTTCTTTAGGCAGGAGATGAGGTTGCTGTTTGGGATTGTGGTCATCTCATCCTCGCCCCCCCCCCTCCCCCCAGCTGTTCTATCAGGATTTGGCAGAAGTTCTTCAGAAATGACTTTTTAGTGTACCCAGGAGGAGAAGGTAAGGTGCTGTTACAGTACATGTGAATAACGAAGTGATGGAATACAAATGGACTCTTTATCAGCTTCCTTTCTGTTGAAGTCAGATTATCCAAAACAATTTTTTATGGCATCCTGAAAAGCACCTCTTCCCTCACGCTGTACACAGAATCATTAATCCCAGCGCCTGCTGTGCCCTCCCTGGCCTTGTATGGCAGCTGTGCACACACTCTGGCACAGGCTGCCAAGAATGCAGGTTGCCAGCACAAATAATGTCAGGCTGGCGAGCTCTGACTTTTCACCAGCACGTACTGCAGACCTGGGCACAATGTCCTCCTGTCCGACAGCATACTCCAGCGAGCAAGTACACCTCAGCAACCCTCCCTTGTAAGAAAATTCCTGAGCTTTCCTTTGGGCTTTTCTTCTTCGTTTCAAAGAATGCTGCACAGTTATGCCTGGCTCATCTTTAAAGAGATTATTTTCCATCCCTCCCAGCGAGAAAATAACACCACAGCCCGTCTTATTTACTCCAATTAGTAACTGATAGCAGATGCTGATAATCAGTGAACCCGATTCAAGTGTCCAAAATCCTAATGGCCCTGACACAGCCAACACCTTGAACTTCTTCACCACCTCCACTTCAACACAAACCATGGGGAAGTGGAAACTACAGCAATGTGTATTAAAACCGAGATTAGGAAGCACTTCTTTTGACAAAGGGTTGCGGAAGTCTAGAAGAAGCTACATCCATACCCTGGCTCCTTTCAAAAAACAGACTGATGAGATCCTTGGATGAATGAGATCCTAAGATCAGCTACCAAATGCTCTACGTGGGCCAAATGCGGCTTCTTGTCTGTAGAGTATCACAGGTTCTTATATAAGTCTAACTCAGAGTTGGATGATTTTGTATGATTCACAAATTGTGGGCCAAGCTGACATCTGTGCTTCTGCTGACACTGTCTGACTCGACAGTTACTAGACCCTAGTCATGCCAGTATCTTAATACTTCTTAATCTTGTTAACTGCTCTGCAGTTTGCTCCTGCTGGAGTCATGGAAGAGTTAAAATGATGGCAACCAGCTGACCTGAAAGAGCAGTGCTCTTGTTTCATTGTTCCTGCTCTGGCCTGTATCCTTACAATGAAATCACGGGTCTACCACTGAAGCCCAGGGCTTAATAGTCTCAACTGGAGCCAAGTGCTACTCATCCTGCAACAAAGAAAACAGATTTAGTCATCTTTCGCTCCAGCACAAGTCTGCAAATTTTTTAAAGTTCTTTCACCAAAAGAATAAACAACACTGCCTGGTTGTAAACAGATGGCCATTCATTGTCCAGATCAGTTTGGCTTCTGCCAACATAACTAGAATTTAAACATGCAGTGGAATAGCACGGATATGCACTCTGTATAGCGTCTGGACATCTGCTGATCTAAATTCTGTATTCAGTATCCACACACAGTACACTCTATGACTACTGTATATTATACAGACTGTATTTGAAAAAGTAAATATATCTATAGTGGCAAAACTATTGTTTTTCCTTTCAGAGCCAACTGCCGTGGATCCAGTTTCAGTGAAGGACTGCATGTACAAGGCATCTTGACTTCAGGCGTGTCCTGGGGTTTGAAGGGGTCCAGGTGGGCCTAAGCAGAATTATGAGACTGCCAGACGGGACACAGTACTGCCAGACGTGAAGGCAGCAAACCTACATTTCACATAAAAATGACTGAGAAACTCCATATCTGCCATGTTTAAAAGGTTCAATCTTTGAAAAGCATGGCAGAGTTCCTGAGAGGCTCAACTGATAAAGGCACTCGCGTCGAGCACAGGGCGCGCTCTCTGACCCAGAGCGAGTCCGTCTGAGCCCAGCTGTGACCAGAAGGAGCAGGACAGCGGGGTCTGGGACTGGGAACGGCTGGCGAATCCACAAACCCCAGGACTGTGCAGGTGCTTGAGGGGTCGAGCTCGTGGCGGAGAGAGACATTTCTCTCCTGCACGACCTGGAGCTGCTGACCTTTGTCCTTCTGCCCATCTGGCCACAGGGGTTCCCTTCACTCGAGATCCGAAGATGCGAGCGCACAACGAAAGAATCGTCTGATCTTAAACAGAAAAGGCTGAGATTTCGAACGCTGTTTCGTTCTTCTTTGAACCGACCTGCCTTGAAATATCAGAAAATCTAACGCTTTTAAAATGCTTGCAACAGCTTTGACTCCTGGGTGCACTGAGGAGGCTCAGTGTGAGCAAACTCAAGACCGCATGTCAGCGGAATATCTGAAGCAGCACTGTGCAGCGCTGCATTCTGACAATCAGCAGACAGACAACCTTTCATTTTTAATGATCTGCCTTCTTCCTCCCAGAGGCTCAACGCTCTCCTGTCTCTCAGGCCGCGGCCTTCCTTCTCTGCATAGGATCACATCAAGGAAAAACCATCCGCATGTGCTTTCAAGGGTTCCAAAGGAGTAGGCGTTTGTATGGAGAGCTAAAGAGTAATTATCCTGCTTTCTCAAAGCTCTGAAAGCCCTGCAGCCTGACAGCCAGTCCCCGGTCCAAGAGAGCCCTCACAAGAAATCAAAGGCCCTCAGTCTTCTGCAATTAAACTGCTTCAGAGTAATAGTGTAAAAAAAAATTGGCAACACAATTCATATAGATCCCTGCTGTTTTAAAGCTGTCATTGTAACATTTTAACATTCCGAAAAACTTCAGTAATGGAACACAGACGCCAGTTTGAAGAGAAAAGCGTGTCTGCAGCACTGAACCTGAGCAACTGCAGAACCAAAAAGCATTGGGACTTGAGAGAGGTACATTGGGACTTCACATTCGCTGCAAATCGGACACCAACTGCAACAGAAAACGACTTTCCTAATGAGCAAATTCTGCTTCCCCTTGTTATAAAAGAAAATGTAACTACTGTATTTCAAGGAGCAAACCTACTGTACCACAGCTAGAATATACGGGTAGAAAGGGGAAATCATTTTCCTTTTTCAAGCAGTTCTGGGGAAATCAATTGCAAGAGTATTAAGAATGAAAAAAAACATTAGGCCATAATATTACTATTGCTCATAGTATGAGAGAGTACATATTAAGTGTTGCATTTATACAGCACTTTAGATTTCACACGTAGCAAGACCCCTAAACAGGTGGAGATTTGCTTTCAGCACCACAACAGATGAGCCTCATCAACAAGCGGAGGGGGAAAGATCACGCAGGTCAAACTTAACTTGAAAGACAAACTGACAACTTGTTCTTTCAAAGCTACAAATCAATCTCATGCAGTAGGGCACGCCTGTGGCACAGACGAGACAGCGCCATCGTTCGCCCTGAAGAGTTTATCTTGATTTCTCTCACTTTTGGCTTCAATATCCATTTCTTTGTTCACTTTGAAGAGGAAAACTGTCACTTTTTGCATCACATACTGTAACTTAAAACCTGGAGGGGTGATTTTAAAAGCACGCGATTTTATGCTGCAGCTAGTTTTACTGAAAGTACAGGTTTTAAGCTTTAAATCAAATGGATGACAAAGTATGTAAGAAAAATACTACTTTATTCTGTCTTAGATCAGGTTTAACCTGAACCTGGGCTTTCTGATAATGCACATATTCCTCAAACTGGTCTCGTATATTGGAGCTCCCTCTCGTGGTTGACTTGAAGATTACACATTTTGTTTTTCAGTCAAAAAGTAAAAAAAATAGCGCCAAGTACTGTACTTACCATTGAATACTCATGACCTGCATACCAGCAAAACAATCATTACCTATTGGAGAGCTAAAATCTAGTCAATGTCACAAATGTATGGGTTGAGTACTCATTTCTGGAAATCTGAAGAATATTAATTCTGCAGACAATGACTGTGAATGTAGAGCTGTTTTTCAGCTTTGTGTGTCTAACTGGCAGTGAATGAGGCGATCTAGAAAAGTGGTTCCCAATCCTTATCCTGGAATTCCACAAAACACCTGGTTTCATTCCCCCCGAGTTTAGCCACCTAACTGAAGCCTCAACTGAGCTAACAAGTTTCCTGATTGGGATAGTTTCAAGTTGATTTTTTCTACTCCAAATTTAGAAATGTTATAATGCTTGTGAAATGCTTATGCAATAGTTAAAGGGCGACCTCCAAACAGACCTGGTAAAGACCTGAAAACAGACAAACAGCTCAATGTAATCACATCATTAAGTCAATTAAGAGATCAAACGTGTAACTGAGAGCTTGGCTTAATCTGAAATCAGCTGTTGTGTGCCCGTGCAGGACCTGGATCATTCTGATTTATCTACAAGATGTTTCAACTGTGGACAAGTGATTTGCACTGTAATGCAGTGTCACAATATATTTTGTATTCAAAACAATTGGCCTGTCATATATCACATGGATTGTTTTACCCATTTAACGCATTAAGCACAGGAATACAGACCAGGGGTGACCGAGGCATGAATATGAAGCAGAAGAGAAATGAAAAAGGTGTGATCTTCATGCACAGTTAAGGTGAAAGAAACTACACTTGTCAACTAGAGATGAAGTGTGTTCATAAGTTTAACTGGCACTGGTGCCAGAAGCTGTGTGAGTCATTATCTTCACACCCTGAACATGATACAGCGCGAGTCAAAGGAAATAAATAGAACAGGAATGTCTTAATAAGTGCATCACACGACAGGGAATTGACAGCAATACCCAGAGAAGTTTCTGGTTTCAAAGCACTTCCAGTATCACAGCCAAGCGGAGCTCTTCTAACTTTCGATATTGAAAAGGGAGAGGTAAATACCATTCATAACCTTTAAATGCATTGGAAACAGTTTCCTCTCGACAAGTCAATAAGTGCACTGTCTCTCGGTGCCTTTTCAGTGTATGTACAGCATCCCCTACCTGACTGCGCTCATGGCCACATCAAACTGGACTCCCAGTGCGTCCTCTCCGCACACTCCTCCGAGCTGCTGCAGCTCCACCACGGCCCTGTCCGCCTTCTCCAGGCTCTGCTCGGCCTTCCTCAGGGTGGGGTCTGTCAAGGAAATGTCTGCCCCTTTCCCCCTTGCGCCAAAGACACCTTTCCTCCCTTTGACACTTTACAACTACTCCCTTTTCCATGTCCTCCGCCTCTATAAGATCTGAAAATTCAGATGAAACAGTTTCACTCCCCTTCACACTTGCACAAACCCACACCAGCTCGCATCAGTGCTGAAGAGACTAAACATTAAACTTTCTGCTTACACCTGGATTTTCCTGTTTACAACTGTTTTTTGTGCAATATATGCTAGGGACTTGTGCAATATATTTTTATATTTATAATGTGCAATACAACTTTTTGTGTACTGTTCTGTTGTTTGTTTGTATATTCTGGACTGTGAGCAACTCTTTTTAGTTCACTTTTCACTGATTGTATTGACTGCATTGTATGTATTGTGTTGTTGCATTATTGTATCATTTCATTACACTGTGCTGTGTTGACTGTGCTAAGCTGCTGTTACACTGCAATGTCCCTCACGGCATCAGCAAAGTATCTAAGAGGACAGGTCGAATTTCACCAACATTACAGTCTAGAAATGTCTTTTTTTAAGAAAAGAGTTTCCGTATCCCAAAGTGCTCCTTCTACAGAAAACAAAATTATTTTTTTGTGCTTTCTCTGAAGATTTATACTGTAGCTTCCCAATGATACCACATGAGCCAGTCTCTCCAGGTTTATAACCTTCACCTGCAGTGCCACCGCAGAGGTATTCTGGGAAAGGATATTTGCCCAGGCGCTGGGCAGCCTCTCCTTCCGTCTGGAAGATGATCACGAGACATCGCAGCACATCTGCCCTCTCCTGCTTGCCTGCCAGCTCCAGAGTTGTGTTCACGGCAATGGCCTTGGCCTTTTCCATGTGTTCCTGGGCTTGCAACGCCAGCCCTGAGGCACAGAGAGTGGTGGGTAACCTGCAGGTGCAGAGCAGCGAAGGCGCACTCCTGATACGATACTACACTAACGAGCCCTGCCCGGGGAAAATGAGTAGCTTGGGTATTATGAATAAGACACAACACCAAGCACAAAACAGAGGCATCTTTAGCTCGCCCGTGTAGTTTCCGGTGTAGTTTCCGCTCACCTTTCAGCCGCAGGTAGCCCTGACCCAGCCTGGCATGCGCCTCTGCCAGTTTCCAGTGCGCATCCCCGTGCGCCAGTCTTGCCAGTGCCACGCACCGCACCAGCTCCTGAACGGCAGCGTCAGCCTGAGAAGAGACAGCGGCACCGATGCTCAGGGCACCGTTACCAGCGCACGAGCCGCAGTGTTCACTGCTCAAGCTGTAATGACTGTCACCAATCTACTCAACCTCCGCTAATCCCGAGAGGCAGAATCCCTGAATTCATTCCAGGTAAAGGATGGACTATTCCCCACCATGAAGCGGATGCCTGCGGTTCCTTCTTGCAGCTGTTTTTCTTGTCAAAAGTAAATAACGTTCGTGGGCATTCATCGGGGGGCCTGAGCGCATTCCAAGTCAGAAGTGCAGCGAGGAGAATCCGCAGGGATTCAGGCCGCTGAGGCTCTTGGTCCCACAGCGGACTGAGCGTCACCGCTCGGGTGTCGCTAGGCTGAGGTCAACGGTCATGTTACCAGGGCGACTGTGACCGAACTTCCTGGAACACTGGCGCAAACCTGGGACCTGGACGGGGGTCACGGCTCGTGCAGCTCACCAGCGAACAGCGGCTCGCTGGGTGCCTGCAGGCCTACGCCAGCCGCTCCTCCTGTCTGAGGCGAGCTCTCGGCTCAGGCACCACGGGGCCCACACTCTTAAGCTCCTTTTCTCGCCCTGAAACTAAGCTACTGACAGTAGTGTGGATTTAGCTGTAAACACACACTGAAATCTGGACGCGTGTCCAGGGGCTGACGGGTGACAGACAGCACTGTAGGGTTAGGGTTCGAACAGACAGGCCCGCTCAGGTGACCCCGGTGTGCTGACTCTCATCACCACCTGGCTCAGTGCTAACTTTGTGATGCTTTGTGATGCAGAGCACTCAGTGTTCCTCCGGGTGTGGTACCTCCTGGGCAGCTGCGAAGGCCTGTGCCCTGCTCTCACTCTGCTGCAGTCTGTGCTCAGGGCTCATCGTGACAGCTGTGGCTAGGGCTCTCGCTGCAGGGCCTGAACACCTGTCCAGAGGCGGGGGTCCTTCTGAGCTGCTGCTGCTGGCTCTTCCCTCTTCAGGGCTGCATAACAACAACAACAACAACTTTATTAAAGTTGTTTGACTTATATCCAGTCACTGACCTCTGCTCATCATCTAGACTTCATTCTGATGCTCCAGGCCCAGGGGTCCGTATTACCTGTCCAGCTGCCACTGACCATAACAATGGCTGACTGCTGACAGGTGGGAGCTGCTGAACAAGCAGAGAGGAGCCCTCAGTCTTAAGCTTCTTGTCTCCCCCTTGAATGGTATGTTAATTTAGATGGAAAAAGCCCATTATTCACATTGTAAAAGCCATTCAGCCATTCACACAGTCTGCAGAAGAGGAGAGCTCCATGAGTTTTTCAGAGTTTCAGTAAGTGACCCAAAGACCTATCCAGTCACTGCTTGATAATGGCAATAGAGTTGTCCTCAGTGACACAGCTGGGTAGCTTGTTCTAGACTCCCACGAGCACTGTGTACAGCAAGGTCTTCTGTTCTCAGGCGTAATACAATTCTCCATATTCATATAATAATAATAATAATAATAATAATAATAATAATAATAATTATTTCTTATATAGCGCTTCTCTGGACACTCCACTCAAAGCGCTTTACAGGTAATGGGGATCCCCTCCACCACCCCCAGTGTGCAGCCCCACCAGTACTCTCCCCACACACCAGCTCTCAGTGGGGAGGAGAGCAGAGAGATGAAAGCAGTTCAGAGATGGGGGTTATTAGGAGGCCATGACTGGTAAAGGCCAGGGGGAAATTTGGCCAGGACACTGGGGTTACACCCCTACTCTTCTCGAGAAACACTCTGGGATTTTTAATGAGTCAGGACCTCAGTTTTACGTCTCATCTGAAGGACAGCGCCTGTTTACAGTATGGTGTCTATACTAAGGCATTAGGACCCACATGGACCGCAGGGTGAGCGCCCCCTGCTGGCCCCACTAACACCTCTTCCAGTCCTCTAAAAGGAAAGTGTGGCTTCCTTTAAGAAAAACCTGGATGTGACTCTTGGATCAATTAGTTATCATCTATACTAACTACTGTATATCGGCTACATGGGCTCCTCTCATCTATGAACTTTGTTATATGCTTTAATACTAATTGAATACAAGTGCATGTTAGGTAAAACACGTCTTCTAACTCACCGTCCACCCCATCAGCCAACATGAGCCCAAAATCGGTCACTCTGTGCCGAGTAGCGCCCTCTGATGCACACTGAGCGTACTCTGCACGGTTCCTATTCCTACCGTGCATCCCTGCATCCCTGCGATTTCCAAATTAAAAAGCTCCCAAGCATAAACGAGGGCTTCTCCCCGCACACCAACCCAGCTAACGTTTTGGCTTTTGCCGCTACTATTATCCCGCAACACGCCTTCCTTCTCAAACAGGGGTCTCGACTTCTATTCACAGCTCGTCTCAGCAATTCGCCGTGTCCTGAAGCACCACTTACACTTCTGTGCACTGTTTGTCCACCGCCGCATCCTCGGTAGGGAGGTGAAGGCTCATATTTCTTCAAGTTTCGTTCCTCGAAAACACGAAATGTATGCCTGGCTATCTGCCCGTTACGTTAGGACCGTCTTTATTCGTCACTCTGACGTTGAAAATCTACCTCAGGCGGCCGAACGCCGACCCAATAACTGTAGCAACAGCAGACACCGCCATTGACTGTCGTAGAGCAGAGCCAATAGCCGGGAGACTGCAGGCAAGTCTGTCCTCGAAATCCGATCTCAAAGCAGCAACATGCAAGGCTTTAAGAACTCATCCTTCGTTATAACTTTTGTGTTGGACCAAAAAGTACTTCAGTATTTTTCCTATGCGATGTCAGATAGAATACGTTTAATTCAAACCATTAATTTAAGCAACTTTTTAAAAGGGGAGAAGTGTATTGGCGGATTTCACTGTTACTGATTTTATTCCGATTCCAGTTGTATGTACGTTTGTATGTACGTTTTTTTCCCCCCAAATGGACAGTTTGTATATTTCAGTATCACTGTTACAGGGCACATAAAGATCTCACCTTATCATAAAATCTAAAAATACAAAAATGTAAAAAGCTTTTGGTAGGAACAAATCGAAAAGTAGTTACACGATTATGTATAAAACCTTCAACATACAGAAAAACGTGTTATTATGCAATCTATAACGTTGTACATAATTATAATTGGTGTATATATATATATCACCAATTCGATGGCCACTAAACTGACGCACCGTGTGATAAAAAACTACAAGGACCATTATACCTATCGACAGTTACGCTCACGGTCGCTTGTATTTTACGTTGTTATCCACAGGCCCATCTCGGCGCACTGCTTAATGACGCTCTGGGTTGTTGTCTATTGGACGAATGACAGCTGAAAGGAGGTCAATATGTAATGTAAATACTCTTTTCCCAAATCCAGGTGAGTTTGCAAACACTTATTGTTAAACTGTAAAAATGCAGAGACTTTACAGGGCTGTAGACCTGCACTTGAATCATCCCCTACTCGGATTCGTTTTTCCAGTATGAGAAATCGTTGCCAGAATGAGCTAATTCTGAAAGAGCAGTTGTTGATAATTAATGAGCGTTTAACATAAGGCTAAAAACTCGACGTGTTAGTGTTGACAGCAGTGTTATGGTCTGTTTTTGATAATGCTGTTTAGAGAAATAGGCTGTGCATTGTGGGATCGCTTCCTTGACCGCGGTGTACTGTCTAGATTTGGGGTGTGGGACCGAAATATTAAATACTGGATTCAAATACTGCGCATTCGTTTGTGTAGTGATTTAAACACTTAAAATTATTATTATTTTTTAATGTATTATTAGTAGCAGCAACGTATTGGCTGTAATAATATCGGCACAGCATTCCCAATGTGTATTCCCTTTGTATCAATGATCTCGGTGCACCTGCACTTTGATCGCTGTACCTGGCGTTTAGAATGAAGCGGCCGCGGTGCGCTTTCAGTTTTCAAAGCCTGTTCCCTGCGGCTCTCTGTGTAGGCAGGGTGAGACACCTCGGCCCGGCCAGGTGCAGGAAAGGCAGAGATTAGTCGGAGAGGTAGCCTAGTGGTTCATGCATTGTTATCTAGAAAGAGGAACTTTTAAAAAAAAATACCCTAAAACGAAATCTAAGTTTTCTGTAAGTAAGTTATGAAAGTGAGCAGGTGAGAATGCAGACAGACGGGATACGTTTGGACGTAATTCACATATATTCATCTAAACATGTGGGCTTTAGTTGGAGAGGAAAAAAAACACAGCACCAGATTCAGCTCTGAGAACAAGCTTTCAAATCTGACCTGTAAGCATTTGCATTATGAGTACAAGTCCTTTTTGTGCACAACATAATGCACCGCTTGTGTGCTGACCAGCCATTGCAACTTTAATGGCAACACGG